TTCAAGGCCTCAAACCTGTTCCTGAGATGATTCTGAAATTCAGGTGGGATGAAATCAAAGTCATATTTTGGCTCCTGTGGGGTTGGTTTAATTTTCCTCAGCTTCAGCTTGAACTAGCATATAAGTAGTTGGTGGTCTGTTCCACAATATAAAGTGGTGAATTTTTTTGGATATGACAAAGACATTTTTGGGAGCCAAAGAGTTTTAATGTCATGGATCCCCAACCCCCCAAAACTCCATATACTCCCAGGACAGTGGAAGATCCTGGGGGAAAAAATGGAACAAAGCTGAAACTAAAAAAAAATGGCCAAGCCTGCTGGTCTACCTGTAACTGGCAGGTGGACCCTCAAGACTTTGGCCCTCTGAAATCCTTTGTGCCGGTAACTACACTCACCTAGTAGTTCACCTTTCACACAAACAACACACAACAGAACAGACAAGCATTCATTCAACCTCTCAAGGTCAGAAGAGCAGCACTGGGCCAGGGGAAAGCTCGGAAGGGAGGAGGTGACAGAGAAGGACCACACTGTGGTGGCATGTAACACGGTACAGTCACTCGGGAAGGCAGTGTTTTCTTCCTCAGAAAGCAAAACAAAGACATTCCATATGGCCCAGCCATGCCACTGCTTGGGATGTGCCCTGAGAAAATGAGAACTGAGGCACAGAGACTTGTCCACGGATGTTCACAACAGCGTTATTCACCACTGTGGGAACTTGGAAACAACCCAGTTGTCATGGAATACTATGTAACACCCAGGAGCAATGATTTCCTAAACCACACCTAGCACAGGAGGGACTGGAGAGCATTATGCCGAGTGAACTAACTCAGTCTCATAAACACTGTATCAGACCATTACTGTAGAATGAGGATGGAAGAGGGTGGGGCTTAATCCCAGGGTTGCACAATTCGATAGGTGGAGGGGAAGGTGGGTAAAGGAAAAGCAAAAGACCCAGTATGAAAACAATGTATCCGAGCTTTGTAAGTAAACAGCACTTACAAAAAAGAATAAATAAATTCCGTTTATACTATTGAAAACATAAAAAAGGCTTCCTGGAAATGAGAAACACAAGGTGGAACCAGGAGGAGAACTCTTACAATGTGTGGACATAATTAGTCAGAAGACATCTGTGTAAGTGACTGGCTGGAAAACCAACTGTTCTGTAAACTTTCAGACAAAACAAAGCTAAAAGAATTTTTCCCTTATCTTTTCTTTAAACAATTCCTTCCATTAAATGCTCCACAGTTAATGTACTTAAATACAGGTTTACAGCAGGCTGACCTCTTAAGTAATGGACACGGCCTGTAAGGTGACTGTCCGCCAGGGCTGCTGTCAAGGAGGCAGGACACAGGGACTAAGCGGGGCTCACTCTGAGGTCAGAACGGCTTCCTAAAGGACGCTCCCAAAGACGCAGAAGCAGCTTCATTCAAGTTGCTGCACCTGATGACAGCGCACTGAAGCCTACAACCTTCAACTTAGCCAAACAGCACCATGAGTGCACAGTCCTTTAGGTGCGTACTTGCCTTTAGTTTATCAGGAGACGTGTAAGGCGCTTCAGGAGCATAAATCCTGAAAATGTCTGCGAGGCAGCAGGCTACAAGCAAACGGACATCTTTATCTGGGTGCTTGAGGAAAAAGTCTGAAGCCAGATGTAAGGCTAGGTTGAGATACAGCTCCTTCTCTTCTTCAGAGTCCTGGTCCATGTCCATGAATGTTTTCACAACCATCTGTACAAAACAAATTTAAAAATTCAATCATGTCATAATATGTTCCATCTGAAACAGAAGCCACATTCACCACCAAGGCTCAGCTTCCAGAAAACGTAGCTCGTTTTCCCCGAGAAGGTCTAAGAAAACAAGCCGCCTTCTAAAGTTATACTTTCTCTTAGAAAATAAGCAAGTATCTTCATTGATACAGCATATCTGGCAACTAGATTGTAACAGGTCAAGGATGAGGCCGCTGACTTACACACTCAGAACCCTCTGCAGCTCTGCATGGTGCGGCTGGGCCCAACTCCACAGCTTTGTTGTTGCTTCTGAGATTTTCCATTTGTAAGCTGAACGTGCACAGTGTGAAGACTGGAAGAACCCTAGTGTTTCCACTCTCACGTTTACAACTGTATCGAAATTGGCACTTCCTCCTTCTTTCAAACACTATACAGGTCCTCCAGTGAAGGAACCCTAGTGGCACAGTGAATTAAGTGCTGGGCTGCCAACTAAAAGATCCGTGGCTCAAAACCACGAGGAACTCCTCAGGAGAAAGCTGTGGAAGTCAGCTTCCACCAGGACAAGGCCCTGGAAACCTGATGAGGTGAGTGGGAACTGACCCAAAGACAGGGGATATGCTTATTGTGCTTTCTGTAATATTTCAAATCCTTTCATTAGGAGGAAAAAAGCACAGTGCTGAAGAAAAACCTAGATGATGTGTTTCTCCCTCTGAGCCACAGCCAGTGCAGATGACCAGTTTCCTATACCCAAATTATCCACAGATCTCTGCAAGGCTGTCCAAGGCCCTGCTCTACATGGTAAAAGGGGACTACGAGGTGCACCTTCTGGCGTCCAGCGAAGAAATTCTGCGTCAAAGAGAACAACGGAGTGGGTTCTCTGGAGAGCGTCAACACTACGTCTGACTTGAGGAGAAGGAAGCTACTGGAAACACCTTTTTTCAGAAACATTACATCAAAGCAGCAGGCTGGAGGCAAGCTTGGTAAGAACGCAGAGTCTGAGCTCTGAGAACAGCCCACTGCCCCTCCACTGGCTCTGGCCCCATCACCTCAACAATGTGAATAAAAGCACTTTTCCCTCTTGAAATGAGATGGAACATAATTCCTTCATTGGCAGGAATGGACTGCCCCCAACAACCCCAAGGGAAGGGTGACCACTGGGCCTCCACTAGGTGGTGCTGCAAACACTATGCAGCAAGTGGCCACTCAGGACCCAGGTCCATGCTGTGTTCCTTTCAAGGGGCTGCCAGGACATCCACTTGGCCGTCCAGCCAGACTCTTGAGTATCAGATGGTTCTGCTCCCCACTGACTTCTCAGGGCAGCGCTGGAAGCCCAGACCCACACTGGGGAGCTCCTGGGTTTGCCTCCCCAGGTGCCAGAACCCACAGTTGACCCCTTCTTTCTATTCTGGCACTCACTGCCAAGGACGAGCGTCCTGACTGTCTCTGATGGCCTGAGTGGACTAGGAAAGGTGGCCACATGAAATAGATTTCAGCAAATCGAGCAACTTCTTTACTACAGTCTTATTCAAAGAAGTGAAGCAGGCCTTTGCTGCCAAGCCTGCTCTACAGTCTGGGCCCAGGACGCATGAGTCACAGGCCTCCTATGGAAGCCTACCAGCCGCTGCTGTCAGCACTGAAAGCAGGAGCAGAGCGTGCAGAGTGTGTCCCTGGGGCCAAAGATCCCTACGCCACTCAAATTATGGCCCACCGGGGCGTCACCCACCGGGCAGAGAGCCGGTGTAAGGACCTACAGCAGCAGCCGCAGCAGAGAGCCGGTGTGAGAGAGCTGACCATGGGCCTACAGGAGCCATAGTCACGGCAGAGAGCCGGCGTGAGAGAGCTGGCCGTGGGCTTACAGGAGACACACCGGGGTGTGAGGAGCTGGCCATGGACCTGCTGCCCCCAGAATCAGATGTAGGAGCCTGGTCCCACGCTTGTCAGGGGACTGCCACTAAGATGTCATAAATGTCAGAAGAGCTTTGTACCACTGGTCTATAGCAGCTAGACTCAAATATGTCTGCAGGCACATTCCGGAAGCTGGACTGAACAGATGCATCCTGTGCCAACTTGAATTACACAGCCTTTGGACTTCTCCAATAAATGCCTTAACTGTGAGACAAGAAACAGATTTTATAAAAAGAGTGACAGATTATGAATACTTGTAATAAAATGGGATAGGAACAATTAGAAATTACATAAATACAACTGCAAAACTCACAGTTGTCACGTCATAATGGGCTCGGAGCTGACCTTCCAGCAGGCTTTCAGAAACCGTCAACAGTTTAAGATGAGACTCCTAATCTTTCTCCTGAGGCGCTGAGGTGGAGTCCAGCTACTCAGGGCACTGCCTCCAGATCAGGAGGGCCACTCCCTGAGACCACCCCACGGGAACTCCCTTTACCTAACCAGGTCAACTGAACCAAAACGCAAATTCAAACCCACTGCCCAGCAGTCAATTCCAATGCATAGCAACTCAGGTTTCTGAGGGATTTCAAGATTCTGTGACTCTTTAAAAGAGACTGACCATCTGTATTCCATGGAGCAGCTAGTGGATTCAAACTGCTGGCCATGTGAACAGCAGAGCAACACACTATACAATCCATCCAGCACTCCCTGCAATCACTGTACATGTTGCCAAATCTAGATAATCTGTACGGCTTTCACATATCCAAAATCACTGACATCACACAAAATCTTTCCTCCATCTCCATGCAACAGGTGCTAAAAACTGCAGAAAGTGCAAATCCTAAAAACGACTATAAAAGAGATTCCTAACAAGTATAAAAACAAAAGAATAAAACTAAGCTCACAGCCACAGCCACTGAACTGACTCTGTCTCATGGCAACCCACATCAGCCTTCCGAGACGGGAAACATCTACCCCTCAGAGACTGTCTCATTGCTCCCTGGCAAATCAGTTGGTGGATTTGAACTTCCAACTAAACACTTCACACACTACACCACCAAGGCTCACCAGTTTGTTCCCAGCCAGATGATGACATCGAATTCCTCGTAGCGGTCTACGACTGGAGGGGGGGCCCCGCAGGTAAGTGTGCAGTCAGTTCTAACTCACTGATACCGATTGTACAACAGAACCAAAACTGCCCAACCCCATACACCCTCACAGTCTACTGACCCCACTAGCAGGGTCTCCTGTCAGTCAGTCAGTCCTGAGTCCCGCACCCTCACAGCCTACTGCTGACCACAGCTTCATGGTCACCCACCAGGCAGTCCATCCTGAGTCCCGCACACCCTCACAGTTGCTGCTATCTGTGCCCACCAGTGCAGTCACCCGTCACTCAGGAGATTCCACTAATGGTCATCTTCTTCCTACACTTCCAACTCTCTACACTTCACCAAGCATGGTGTTGTGAAACTCATTAAAACCTCAAACAGAAGTCCCCTAAAGTAAAAAGCACATCAGAGATGATGAGATTGGCACAGCTTGGGCACAGGGCCCAACTGGACTTCCTACGGCCGTCAGCGATGACACCTAACTAACACTGATAATACAAACTTATCAACAAAAACAACATCTCTAAAAGAAATGAAAATCAGCTTGTACAATTCTCCTGTCTGCTTTCACGATTAAGCTTCTCAGCAAATATCAGGGACAGCCTCCTTGAAATATATGCCAATCTGAGGAAATGCATGTCTTCATTAATTTTTCTAAAATTTAAAAACATCAAGAGAACTGAAACAAGTAGAAAATTTTAAATTTCATACGTAAGAGGCTGGTATCTCAAAGTTTTAAATAAAAAGCAAGTGTTCCAGTTAGATAAATCCAATCTGTTCAGGGAGGTCTTTATCCCAGAACAGGCATCTAATATCTGACATTCTAATAATTTATGCATAAATGCTAGGCCTCTCTGTGGAATGTGCAATTACTACCTTAGAACTGTTTTCTTCTTACAGTATTTAGACCATGTAGATCAACAGCTAGGAAACTCTGGTGCCCTAGTGGGAAAGGAGCTGCACTTGCCAACCCAAAGGAACAGGGTTCAAATCTATCAGTTGCTGCAAGGGAGAAAAACAGGTAATCTCCTTCCAGGCAACTCTAACTGCCTCTGACAGCCTGCCAGAGGGTCGGCTACAAGTTGGTTCCAACTTGATGGTCCACCACCAACACCACCACAGATCAACAGGTAGAAAACAGATCTGATGGGAAGTCCTAGGCTTTCAAACACAAACACAGGGATGTTGTCCAGTCTCAAAATCTAGGTGAACAGTAACACATCAAGCAACAGAGTGTAAATCACTACAAGTTGATAAAAAATTGCTTCCAAATCAGTCAGTCCCTCCAGCTAACTGACGTACCAAGGGCGTACACCCTCCATGGCCCCTGGGCCCTCCTGCAGTCACTTCAGCAAGCCGGCAACCACGGCCCCTCCACAGACCTTCCCCAACAGCACCAGAAGGAGCCTTCTGGATTACAGAAGCAAAGAGGGCAGTTCCCGCACACCCTGTTGGCCTGTCCTTCATGTTTAAGGCTGGCTTTCGTCTAAGCACAAGCAAGTGCTCTGGGATTCCCATTCTTCTTAATGTTAGCCATAATTTGTTATGATCCACACAGCCAAATGACTTTGCATGGTAAGGAAAACATTCTTCTGGTTTTCTCTGCTCCCAGCCAGGATCTACCAGACATCAACAATGATATCCCTGGTTTCAAGGCTTCTTCTAAATGTAGCCTCAACTTCCGGCAGTTCTCTGTCTGTGTAACACGTATATCCGCAAGAACCACGGCCACTCAGAAGTTCCGGCTCATCAGGACTGCTAACCAGATTCCCAAGTCTTTATTAATATAGAAAGACTACCTCCTCATTCTACCATGAAAGGGCGGGTGGACTGGAACCACCAACCTTTAAATGAGCAGGCTAATCTAACACACTGCACCCTCGAGGTTCATTCAGGATCCTTTCTCAGATAGACATGGCTGTGCCCATAGAGAAGAAAGGAAAGAGCTCTTCACAAACTTCCCGGAATACAGCAAGGACGCTGGGCTGTGGCTCTCTACACCACGTGCCAGAGGCCCCGGCAAAGCCCAGCTCCACCTTCCTGGTGGCTCGTCCCTCCAGGGCAGCCAAGGGAGGCCTGCGGCTCCCAACCCCACCATCCAGGCTACCCTGGAGAGCCATCAGTGGCTGCTTTGTTTTAAGGCTGTCTGGGCAAATCTTGTTCTGCCTGGAATGGATCCAAGAGGGACCGCTCCTCTGGTTAAGCTGGCACAGCCTGGTGCCTGAGACCCCCGTCCTGACTCTTACCTTCAGGCGCCTCACCATCTCCTCTTTAGATATTTTATCCGAGATCTCCTTCACTCCTGGAGGATACGTGATCTTCCCGTCATTCGTCCTAGACTTTGAATGTGCCATGGTGGAAAACTTCCGACCCCTAAAATGAAAACAACTAAATGTTACCAGAAAGCATGTCTACACCATATTCACAGTTAACAAAAAGCAATCTGTGCCCCAAAACAATTTCAGAGCAATCTAATTTAGACTAAATTCTTGATCTAACTGATAAAAATCACTATTGACTATTTCTCCAAATTTACTTTTATTTCCATTCATAAAAAGCCTCCAACATGAAAAAGTTTACATCAAAAATACTTATTTTTAAAAGAATCAAATTTTGGGGAGCTCTGGTGGCCTAGTGGCAAGGAGCTGCAACTACAATCCCAGAGGCGCATGGTTCAAATCCACCAGATGCTCTGCCAGGGAAGGAGGGACAATCTCCTCCTGTACCAGTCAGATCTGATTTGACAGTACACGCACACAAAAATAATAAAATAAAA